GACGGATCTCTGATCCAGCGCTGACTCCTCTGTCCCTGCAGGCACTTCCGATCCAGCGGTGTCTGCATGCGGGTGCACGCGTCCATAGACTTACCTTGCGTCTCTGCTCGTCTCCCGGCCGAAAATCCGAACTGCGCATGCGCCCGCCCCAAGATGCTTTGCAGCCGCCCGAGCAATTTCTTTTTCTCGTACGGGAGTGCACGGCGATAACGGGGTAAGTTTAAACCGCTGTTAAAGCAGGTTTTTTTAAAAAACAAAAAACTTTTTGCATCTATCTACTGCTTGCTACCAATAGATATAGGCAAAAAAAACTGAGGGTTTAGAAACCCTTTAATCATTTTAGATTCTAATTTAGTAGTGCAATTATAAAGCATTTGTCCGGTGTTATGTGCATGAAAATATAATATATTTCAGTCATTTTAGGTATATTACATTTTTAAGTATTGCACAGACTTCTAGATTTGCCAGTCTTTGTATTATTCAGAGGAGAACAGCTAGTTTTATTATCCAAGGGTACCATATTCCACAATACTCATTACAGGTAATAAACTGGCTTTTAACCAATTATCCTGCATAAGATTAATGGGCATCACTCTGTCCTCAGATTCCAGCACATGAATCTGTCAATGGCCTTGCCTTGTACTCAGGATTTAAATGTTCCATTGTATTCTTATCTCTCCTATCTTCAGGCCACATAACACACATTCATAAATTTACCAGCAGCCATCCTTCAACTCCTGACATTAGATTTTATTATAATAGCAAATTACACAAATAAAGTGTATCAGTGGAACTTCCCAAGGCATAAGGTTACAGAAAAATAAAGGGTATCAGTGGAACTTCCTAAGGCCCAAGGTTACAGAAAAAAAACATAGCTTTACACTTTAACACATACTTGTTATTTATTAACAATCAAGTGAATGTGGAATCTGTGTTTATGATAATAAGAAACTGGCCCCTTCAGGATATATGGGAGTAAACTCATAACTGTTCACGTTATTAATAATAATATTAATAATATTCTCCAAAATCTTCCGGTGATGTATTTGAAACTGAGTACATTCATGTCATATACAGTATATGCCACTATAAATAAATTAGAGTGCTGTTACTAAAACCTTTTAAATCCTAAGGACAGGCAGGGCAAGATTAACATAGGGGCTACTGAAGTGCCAGCTCCAGACCTACCATTGAAAATAGGATCACCTTGGTATGCCCAATGGCAGTCTGGGACGGCTGGGCTGAACACAATCAGGCAGAGGCAGCGGCGGCCCTCTAATCGGGCATGTTAGGTGGCCACCTCTGCTGCTTCCCTTCCCTCTTAATCTGACCCTGAGGATGGGGGCTGAACTGCATGTATTTGCAAATCAGCCTTTATTGATACTGAGTATGGATTTAGGAGGGGCCACAGGTTATTTTAAAAAAAAATTCCAATTTTATTTTTTTAATTTTAAACTTGAATGCCTCGAGATTTTGCATACTTTTAAAGGGTGCCATGACAGAAAAAAGGTTGTGAAATTCTGTCCTAACCAATGATAATACCACAGCAACTAGGGGTAATTATTGAACTCCACATCCTCCCATTTGCCCTGAGAGCCTCTAGTACCTGCTGTGGTACTTCCAATGGTTGGGAGAAAGTGAATGGGCATGCAAGAGTTCTAAGTCAGAGCTAAAGTTAAGACCACAGTGTACTGGGCTCAGAGCCCAGTACACTGTGGTCTTAACTTTAGCTCTGACTTAGAACTCTTGCATGCCCATTCACTATCTCCCAACCATTGGAAGTACCACAGCAACCAATACTGTGCCCTCGTGTTGGTTTGTGGAATGAAGGGACTTTTACTTATTGAAATAAATATTCATCTTGTAAGTCAACCGTAAGAAGGTTACTGCGTCAATTTATAAACAGCTTCTCTCTGACACCCACCTCACCACTTGCCCCCTGGACCCTGTTCCCTCACCACTACTTCGGTCTGTTACTCTATCCTACACTCTCTTACTCACATTTTCAACCTCTCACTTTCTACTGACATCTTTCCCTCCCCTCTAAAGCATGCCCTGTTCACCCCAATACCCCAAAAAACATCAATGGACCCTACCAACCTCAACAATCTCAAACCAATCTCCTTACTCCCATTCACCTCCAAACTCATAGAACGCCTTATCTACAGCCGCCTGAGCCGCCACCACGCTGATAACAACCTTCTCGATCCCTTACAGTACGACTTTCGCCCTCTACACTCCACTGAAACCGCCCTCCTAAAACTCACTAATGACTTACTAACAGCTAAAAACAATGGCCACTACTCCTTACTCTTGCTATTAGACCCTTCTGCTGCTTTTGACACTGTGGACCACCTGCTCCTCCTCCAGGAAAAACTCCACTCGCTTGGCCTACAAGACTGTGCTCTCTCATGGTTCTCCTCCTACCTATCTAAGCGCTCCTTTAGTGTCACCTACAAATCTAACTCCCCCCCCCTCTTCCACTTTCTGTAGGGGTCCCTCAAGGCTCTGTCCTTGGACCCCTTCTCTTCTCTATCTACAACCCCTCTTTTGGTCAGTTAATAACCTCACATGGCTTCCAATACCATCTCTATGCCGATGACAATCAAATTTATCTTTCTACTCCACAACTCACCCCCTCAGTGTCCTTGCGTGTCACTAATCTATTAACTGACATATCAGTCTGGATGCCGCAACACTTCTTAAAACGCAACCTTTCAAAAACTGTGCTCATGATATTTCCTCCCGCCCGTGCACCTTCCCCAAACTTTTCCCTTGAGATTGTTAACACAACTATCCAGCCCTCCCGCCATGCCAAGGTCCTAGGTGTCATCCTTGACTCGGACCTCACCTTTCTTCCCCACATCCAATCACTATCCATATCCTGCCGCCTTCACCTTCGTAACATCTCCAAAATATGCCCCTTCCTCACCAATGACACCGCAAAACTACTCATCCACTCGTTATCTCTCGTCTTGACTATTGCAACTCCCTCCTCATTGGCCTTCCACTACATAGGATATCCACCATTCAGTCTATCAATAATGCTGCTACTAGACTCATTCATCTAACCAACCGCTCAGTGTCTGCAACCCCCCTCTGTCCTCTGTCAATCCCTGCATTGGCTTCCTATGGCCCAAAGGATAAAATTCAAAATATTAAC